ATCACTGGGAAGCATATACCTAGGAGGTTCAGAAATAGGGAATGTGAACATGGATTAAAGCCAATGAATTACCAGCTGAGAAGTTGCTCTTGGTAATCGTAAACTTGAATTATTTTGAAGTGCAGGACAGTATAGTATACTGTTATGCAGCTAGCATGTATTAAACATGCATTGATAAAGATGAGTTATTTGACCCTCTCATTCCCTTATATAATAAACTTATTGTTTCAATTAAATGAACTGTGGTAATATTTACCACCAGTTTGAAAAGCAGGATGGCGTGTAAACTGCTGTGGGGTGCAAGGAGATGGAGCACATAGATGTGATGTTAAAAATCATGGTAGTGTTAAAATTTAGGCCTTTCTTTTCTCTTGGGACTGAATCAACATTGATGATGTAATGACTGGAGTTTGAAGGCATACAGAAAACCCAGTTGCATCCTACTCTCTGGTGGTGATATGATCCATAGCTCTCTGCTCATCTGAAGCCCTGACATTTATAAAGAGAAAGATGAACATACTTTGGTCCTAATACTAGTCCTTAGTTTGAGGTTTTGAGGTTTTTCCATCCTTTCTGTTCTAAACAATGCTTAGAAGTAATAATAATCTACTCCTCTGGTAGTTCCAGGGGAAAATTTTATAACCAGGAAGTGTCTAGATAGTTCAAAAGCATTAATTTTCCCCCTAGTACAATGTTAGTGAAGAATTTTAAATTATTCACTTAAATTACAAATTTGAATCTTCTCAGTTAAACGCTAATACCCACTACTGAAGAGATATGTCTGATTTTGGTTTCAATGTCAACCAAATTGCCTAAATATTTGCATAGACATTAATAGCCAAAGGCAGGACACCATTTTAATTCTGGGTAGAACTAGTTCCTTTAGTCACACTGTATTGTGACTAAGCCCAAGTGTTTTGTTTTCTTTTGTTTTTCAAATTGAAGCCAACTTGTGATGGTTCAGTGTAATTGTAGCTACTGATTTCCATTGTGTTTTATAATCACAAGGCAATATCTGTGTCACAGAATAGTATTTCCTTGAAACTATTTTTTTCCCAATTTTATCTTTCCCATCTTTTGTCTAAGCCTCCAGTAATGACCAGTTTTGTTTGTAGTTACAGTGGAATAACTCCTAAATTAAACTGTTTCCTACTTTTTTCAACCCTCTCAAAGCCAAAAAGCACATGACTCAGCCTCCATCTAAATTGGCCCCAGGGAATGCTATTTTAAAAGTGAGAGGAACCTAGACTTCACAAAGAGATGCAGAGATAAACACACCCGAAAGGTGAAAGCTGACAAAAGGGAATCCAGATACTGGAGCAGTGAGTGAACATGCATAAGAAACCTCAAAAAGCAGATCTAAAGGAGAGGGGCGAGTTGGCTACTTTATGCCAAGGGGATGGGATTTCTAGTATTACATATTCTTGCAAGTACTGAGACAGAATATTTAAGGCACCAGAGAAGAGGAGAGAGAAAAGAATAAATCAGAATCTGACCTATATTACTTGTTTGTTTCAGTATTCATTGAATGAAAGGAAGCTGCTGGAAATAAAGACAGAAATGGTGGCATTGGTAAGAAATGAGACTTAGTCGTTTTATTCATCTTTGCTTCATCTTATGCGATTACTGCTGTGTGTAGTGATGTGTTAATAGATGTATGCAAGTTTAATGTCACAGGTTTTTTTAAATTGTGAAATACATAAAAATTACCATCTTAGCCATTTTTAAGTGTATAGGTCAGTGGCCTTCGGTACATTCACGTTATTATGCAGCCATCACCACCATCCATCCACAGGACCCTTCTCATCTTACAGGACTGAAACTCACCTACGAAACACCAACTACCCATTCCACCCTCCCCAGCCCCTGGCAGCCACCCTTCCACTTTCTGTCTCTATGGTTTGACTACTCTAGGGACCTCATACAGGTGGAATCATACAGTATTTGTCCTTTTGTGACTGCTTATTTCACTGAGCGCAATGTCCTTCAGGGCATCCGTGTTGTAGTATGTGTCATAATTTCCTTCCTTTTTTCCATTGTGTGAACATAATTTTGATTATCCTGTCAATGGACACTTGGGTTGCTTCCATCTTGTGGCCATGGTGAATAATGCTGCTGTGAACATGGGCTTTCAAATAGCTGTTAGAGACAGTTTTCTATTTTGGGGGGTATATACCCAGAAGTGGAGTATCCTAAGTTTTTTTGCATCTAACAAAATATTTGATTATCTTAATGAGAGTTTAAATCTCAGTGATTGAGAATAATAAGGAATGGAGACTTCTGTGTTTTTGAGTTATGGCATGCATTACCTCTATCCTGTTTTACCTGGGATCTCTGAAACCTAAAAGAGCTTCTGTGAGAGAATACTGGAATATTCCTCTTGGGAAGGACCTCTGGGACTGGCAGAGCAAAGGGAATGCATCCAAAGTGGTTTAACACTAATGAGTCTCTCTGTTTTAAAAGCATGCCCAGCAAGATCGTGGTGTCACCCAGACAGACAGGAAGATAGACACGAAGGTCGCTGGCCTTAAAACTATTGCTTGAGTCACAGAAGCTTGACAAGATTAAATATTTAGCAGGTGAGCTTTTTTGTAGCTAGGTAGTTAAAACAGGTGAAAAATAAAGTAAATAAGATTCGCAAAACAAGTCAAAGACAAATTTGCACTTCGTTGATTCTAATATAACTTTTCTCATCCTTTAACATCTCCAAAATTAGAAGGCATCTTAACAATTTCCCGCCAATGGAGTATCATACTATGATTGGCATTTTTCCTTTCTTAGTGGTAATTTAAAAATTAAATACTTTATAATTGATGGAATTGATAAGGCATTATCTCTGAGCTATAGCTATTTGGAATTTTTTTTAGTGAAAGTCAAGATGGAATATTTCACAGATAGCATGAACAAGCTTTTGAGTTGTGATCTTTCTGCTTCAATTGATGACCCTCCTAAGGAGTTATTTTGCTTTTGTGGTTTTTGAGCCATAAGAGGGAATGAAGATTCATGTACCAAAAAAATAGTCTTTGTATTTTAACTCACATTTAACATTTTGGATTAATTGATATTTTTAAATTAAATAGAAGTAAAATTTTGCTCATAAAGTTTCCTCATAAAGGGTGTGTTCCTGTGTAGTACATATACATATATTTTATGACCACGGAATTTTTGTGATTCTAAACTTTTATTGAAAAGTTTTCTTGCATATTGGATAGATTTGTGCTTTGAAAATGATTTCAAGGTGTGGGGATTTTTGGATAGGCAGGTAGTTCATGGACTATGGTACATTAGTGAGCAATCTAAGGTTTTTGGGTTTTTTTCACTTTGCTATATAATTGTCTGTATGTTTTCTTAATAAAAAGATGTTCCCTCAAGTAACTTAATAAAACTAATGCTGTGTTCAATTATTTTTTTCTTACAGGGTCTGTGTTTACATGCCTAACAGTAGCTCTGGGATTTTATCGCCTGTGGATGTAATAAATTCTCTATTTAAAGAGCTCTCTTAATTGTTTTGCCTTAAAAATACCAGGTTGTTGTGCTTTTTGTTTTTCTCATTTCAAATTTTAATGCTGATTTTGATTTAATTTACATTATTTATTTTATGCAAATTATGGACCTATAACCAAGGCAAAGAAGTCAGGAATTTCATAATTGCCCCTTTCACCTCTTCTATTTAATTGACTTCATAACACTGAGTGGTTTGGGACAAAGCATTGAAGACTCCACTCAGCTGGACCAGTGAGCTTGGTCTAACCTGTGGGATATACCAGCAGGAAATATTGTATAACTTTCTTTAATTTTAAATCTTTGTCACATGGAGAATTTGGGGTCTCCACTTAAAAGGCACAATGGCTTTACTAAGTGCCAAAAGTCATCGAAACTAAACCAAGAGCAGCAATTCCTCCTCACCTAACGGCCCGTCCCTGACGGCAGCCAGTCTCTGTCTGAAGAGGATCGTTAGTGGTTGGTATGTTAATGATACAGCTGTACTGTACACTGAAAGGAGATTTTTTCTTTAAATTTCTACTGTCCTAGTAAATTATCGTTATAGTTATTTTTTATGTTTCTTCCAGTAGAAAATCTTGTTGCTTAATCAAGTGTTGTAATTGTAATGGGAACTCTTTACCTCTTAGAGGGCTAGGCTTCTCTCTCCCTACTTGTCACTGGTCCTTCTCCTCTGCCTCTTAACTTGAGCGCTATAATGATCCTCCACTTGTGGCATTGCCTGCCTAGAGCATCTCGGCATGGATGCCTACTTCAGTTCGTGGGACAGCCTCTACTTCCCTGCTGGTCTCACCTGCTTCTTATACAGGGGACGGCACTCCATCCCTGTGTAGCAGTGTGCGGATAGTTAACGTACATGATTCTTAGAAATGTCTTTAATCAATACGCTCTTGCCCAGTACATGCTCAGATCATAGGCTTTCAAAATTAGAGAACTGTCGTGCCAGGTGTCTTCCTAGTCTAGGTCGATTTCTTTGGTGATTCAAGACATTCGCATACCTGCCTGCCTTCTATATCTAATACGAATTCCTAGATGTACCTGGGGTTCTTTTGGAGCAGTGCCATCTTATTTAACAACTGGCACCTGGGAGAGAGTAAGCATTTGAAATTGATGGCATTAATAGTAGCTTTTCTGCCTTTCTCCACATGGATGCATGTGCCCATCATCTGTGTGGTGGAGAAACCACATAGAGACCTCTGACCAATCTGATAAATTACCCATCATCACGGTTCCAGCCACATAAAAAGCTACCTCTTATCCTTTGGATGTCCCTTCTAAGCTTTGGCAAGTGTAAGTTGGTGCCTTTTCTTAAAACATTTGTGTAGCACAAAAAATTCTGAACTTAAAATGTATGGAAATCAAGGGCCTGGAGTATAGCTACTCCAAAATAATCCCCAAGAGCACAAAGTACTGAATGCAATTATGTTTCAAAGCAAACACTAACTTGTATAGTTTAAAAACAGAGTCAAGTGACCTTCTGTCCTGATAAAATATTTTTTAAATAACATTGAGTGGGGTGACATTCTTTCTTCTGCCAAAAGTATTCCAAATGGCATTCCTGGTGGTGACAGTGGGCTGCATCCGTCTGTACTTAATTTGGGCCATTGGTTTTGTTGGAAAGTTCCTTGCAGTACAGAACAGCCTTCCTCCCCACCCACCGGGGGAACAATGAGCTCTCCTCTCAGTGTTGTGGATTGCGTGCATACAGGGACGTTATGAGGGCCCAGGACTGTGTTCCATTTATTTAGTTGAATGTACTGTATTTGAAAAGCATATGAGCCAGAAATACCAGTGCACCCTTCCCACTGCTGGCCCAGAAGTCTGAACTGTGCACAGTAAGCATGCTATATTGGGACACAGTATGACAACTTCCTGAGGTAGTCTAGCTTAGAAGGATTCAGATCACTTTAGGAAATTGGGATCAGCCCTCAGAAGCGGGAAGATGCATGGCAAGACTTAGATGACCTGTGTCTACCACGTGGCAAAAATACCCATAGCTGCATGCTGAAAGCCCACCCCTCTAGGCACAGCTTCCTTGGGCCCAAAGACCTAAAGCACAACATCAAGTGAACAGAATCTTTGCATTTCTTTTCTATGCCCTGATCACTCTGTGAGGAGTCCTCTGCTTTCCTACTCTTCTACCCCCCACCCCACCCCACCCCTTTTCCCCTTCCCCTGCCTTTTATCCTTTTTAAAGAGCCAGAACTCTCCATTATTAAGCAAAACCTGTTTGTATGTACAGGAAACACGAGTTAATTTGTGTGCTGGTCTTACTCCTCAGCTGCTTTAATAGCTTAATATCTAATAAAGGTAAATCTGAGTGTATTCATTTTTTCCCTAAAGTATGCCAAGTACTTCAGGTGAGAAGTCACAAGTTCAGGAAGAAAAGCTTGACTCAAACCAGACATCTTGCTGGACTTTGTCCCTAAACACTTTAAAAACAAATCCCGAGCCACAGTGAGCATCAGTGTGTCGTGCCTGGGTCGTCTCCAGCTCAGCTCGTGCTTTTCTCCCTGCAGCCACACTTGGTGACGTGATCTTCCCTCTTAGGCCTGTCTCCTTTCAGCCTCTCTGCCTGTTAGACAGCCATGTCAGCACTGGCAGGCATCACTCTACCCACGCCTTGATACCCTATGTTGATGCTGATTTTGGATCCAATACAGTGTAAACAGTACTGCAGAACCCACACCTTGAAAACTTTGGCTTTAACATATGTTTATCCTATTTGTTGTGGCTGTTCTGACACAAAAGCAAAAACATGTTAACCAGAAATAATTTTTTCTTTATATAAAATGTTAGAGAATATTTAACCTTTTATTGACATTTTACTTGGGAAATATACAGATTTACACCTATACTCTGATTTAACCCAAATCATTTCTTAAAACCCCATTTATTAAGCAAATATTCACTTATATTTTATTATATAACAGTAGATATAACATTTTTATTGTCTAAAGTGAAATATTCTGTGACTAATATACTTTCCTATTCATTCTAATTGAATATGAAAAACTAGGACAACTTAAGCCTATGCTGCATTTCAACTGTATTCTCTCCAATTGTGTATGATAAGTCTAATGCCTAAAAATCTGCATTTACATAGATAAATTTGAAAGTGATTTTTCAACTTACAAAATAAATTTTTATTCAAAAGAATTATTTTAGCATGCTTATGTAAAATATTTTAACTACTTGTTTGAGGGGAAATGAGGTTTATACACAAGGTTTTAGAAATAACTGAGGACTCCATTAGTAGATAAATGGATAAAGAAGATGTGGTACATATACACAATGGAATATTACTCAGCCATAAGAAGAAAACAAATCCTACCACTTGCAGCAACATGGATGGAGCTAGAGGGTATTATGCTCAGTGAAATAAGCCAGGCAGAGAAAGACAAGTACCAAATGATTTCACTCATATGTGGAGTATAAGAGCAAAGAAAAACTGAAGGAACAAAACAGCAGCAGAATCACAGAACCCACGAATGGACTAACAGTTACCAAAGGGAAAGGGACTGGGGAGGATGGGTGGGAAGGGAGGGATAAGGGCAGGAAAAAGAAAGGGGGTATTACGATTAGCATGTATAATGTGGAGGGGGTATAGGGCAGGCTCTACAACACAGAGAAGACAAGTAGTGATTTTACAGCATCTTACTATGCTGATGGACAGTGACTGTGAAGGGGTATGTAGGGGGGACTTGGTCAAGTGGGGAGTCTAGTAAACAATGTTCTTCATGTAATTGTAGATTAATGATACCAAAATAAAAGAAATAATTGAGGACTCAGGTTGCAAGAGATAGAAATCCAGTTCAGATCAGCTTGAGCAAAAAGGAACATGCTTTTTTTTGGCTTGCATGATCAAAGCTCAGAAGGGGCAAAACTGAAATGCCATCAGAACTTACCTTTGTGCCTCTTACCTCCACTTATTTGGATGGGCATAATTCTCTCAGACCAACCCCCTGGAAGCACCCAGCTGTGCCCTGTGGCTAGTGGTTGGAGAGCTCCACTCGGGAAACGTCTGGGAGAAAGCATTCCAAACAAGGCCCTTAGCTGGCCAGTGGAAGGGTCCTGAGGGCCGCTGTGGTTCATTGGTGCGCACTTCTGTGGGCCTGTCGAGCACATGTCCCACCTCTGGAAACTGACTCCCATCCATCTGTCACTGTGAAACGTCTACTCAAGAGGAAAGCAAAGGAACACCTTGGGAAAGCGGATAAATGAACTAGAAAGATAACCCAGAAATTAATTTCAGGTACATTTCATTTTCTCCAACCAGAAATCTTTTACTAAGGTTAGAGAGTCAAACCAGATTTGTGGGTGGGCCATAAAGTTCCTCAAAGGCCCTAAATGATTTGCAAAAAGCCTTCGTGTGCAACATGTTAGATGTTGGTCGTCCATCCACAACTTCTCCCCTTGGTCCCACATTGACATCTGTGGTCTGCAAACAGGCTGAAAACTTTTTTTTTTTTGCCTTATATCTAATTTCTTTAAAAATAAAACTGTTTCTCTCTGGAATCCAAACCTCTGGCGCCCCACAGCCGGGCCTGCTGTTCCCTGTGCTGCCAGCCTTTCCAGCTTAAACCTGCAGCTTCCTCTCCAGCATCAGACTGCCGGGTGATGGCGAGGGGTCTGAGCATCAGCATCCTTAAGTAGAGCACAGTGAGCTTTTGGTCTTTTGCGTATTACAAATATGCAGACAATACTTTTTAGGCCAATATTCTCAGGAATAAGAAGTTGAAATATGTGGGCATTTCGCAAGGTCCTAACTTCCTCTCAGTTTAATCTTTTTTTTCCCCTAAGTTTCTCATGATTCTGAAAAGCCCAGGAAAGTGGCCGTCATGTCTAGAGCTTAGCATGTCATTTCTGCCATTGTCTTTTAGAGGTTTTTTGATTCCTCCTCAGCCTCCTGAGGCTCCACAACACACATTTTTCCAGGAGAAAGGAAAGAGCTGCTTAGTGGCATCCTGTTCCATAAGGCATGAAAGTCTGTATTTACCTAACACAGAAGCCTTTTTTACTATTTCTTACTTTTATGGTACTTGATGTTTGTGAACCTCACAGCATTGTAAGAGGCACTGTTACAGGCAGTGCCTCTATCACAGAATTGCAATCTCTGAAAAACTGCTAAGACATTGCAGGGAAAACCCTGGGGATGGAGATTAAGTGAACCCATGAAAACAGATTTTTCTACCAACTGCAGTGTCTCATACCTAATGACTTAACTTACTTGAGTATAGAAATGGGTGATTCTCAGTGTTGGGTTGGCATCTCAGTGTTACCTTCAACGGCCCAGTTCGTCTTTCCATTCTTCGCTTGCTCTGGGTTAGCTTTCAACTTCAGCCCTGGGGTTACCCGATCACAGCATGGCTGCCACAGCTCCAGGCGTCATATACTCAGAAGGCAGCTTCCAAAACAAACGAGGTACAAAACGGTTCTCAGGTTTTTCTCCTGTTAATAAGGGAGAAAGATAACACCTGTCCTCACATATACACACACAACACAAAAGACCCTGTGTCCCACAGGCCAGGTTTAGGTCACATGGCCACCTAGGGCAAGACAGTTGTCAAAAGGAATGTTGATCTTTTTCAGCCCCTCTGGTAGGAGGTGAGCAAAGAAGGAGGCTGGAAGGGTTGTGGGGTTGGCATCCAACAAGTCTGGTTACAGTGTTCATGAAGATAAAACACAGGCTGCATACTAAAGAGAACCATACCAAAGCTGTAAGGTACCATCCCTTACTGGCTAGAAACACTTAAGAATGTCCTTTCCATTTATGTCCAATAACAGGGGTAATTTTTTTCTCTGTAACATATTTTTACTGGTTCACTAACTAAAACTTCAAAATTCTTGTTTTATTTTATAACTAGTTCCCAGGATCCCCACCATTGTTCCAAGTAACTTGCGCACTTGAGGAAAAATACAGTTGTTACTGAACAAACTCACACACATACTTTGAGTATTTCAAAATCCCTCTATATACAAGGTTATACACCCTTAGCTTTGCCGTATTCTTTTAGCCAAGCACAGCATAACCCGGGTGCCACTCTCTTCCACTCCAAAGGAGCAGGGGAACTGGCCGCAGGTGTCGGCTCCTCAACTCGGCGGTTTGTTCCTGCCCCGGTCGCCTAGGCTGTGTGGCAGAAAATTATGCTGCCCTCCCCCTCTTCTTTCCAGCTTCCATACCCTCTTCTGTAACTATCTCGTACAAGAACAACCCAGAGTGTATACGCTTAATCTGAAATTCACATGGTTGCACGAAAAGTGTAAAAAGTAAGTCTATATTTGGTCAAATTCAAGGTTGGGGAGGAGCGACTGGCACAATCAGTGGCCCTCTGGCTTGTTCTGGGGGCGGTGGACATCACGTTCTCTCCTGAACAATAGGTTCTTTGTGGGGTGTTGCAAATTACTGATCAATCCAGGTCGTTCCTGTGACCCCAGACAAGTGTCCCTGCAGAAAGCCTGCCCATGATAGGCATATGCGATTAGACCACAAAGTCGGGTGTTC